CAGAGTAAGAGTTATTACATATTAGCTTGGGGGGTTGTTTTTGGTACCTTTTCCCTTTGTCAGTGATTGTCACCTACAAAGATATGGTACAAAATCAAGATTAACTAAATGCATGATTTAATTTATTTTTCTCTGCAAACTACTTCTCATTATTGTCCCCTCTTAAGAAGGATAATAATATTACCCTAAGGAATTTCTCAGTGACTTTAGAAAAATCAGTCCATAATCTAATTGAAAGTTGCTACAAATTTTAATTTAATGCCTCACTTTAACTTGATTTTCTTCAAAGTCCTCATTCTGCCTTGTCTGATAATTCATTCCCACTGAGACTGTACAATTACTTTAAATCATTTACTCTATATTAGAGTACATAATAGTTTTGTTCATATCATTCTATTCCTCTTAGAAATGGCATTCTGTACTGTCACAATGCCCCTTCTAACTCTTCGTTTTGCCAAAGATAGCAGAAAAGCAAGACAATAGCCAATAACTCCTAATGGACCATATGTCAACAGACAGGGATTATAAGGATTGATATTGCTCTGTGCTCTTTGGGTTTAACTGATTCTTTACTTTTCTAAGAGTAAAACATATATCCACAATGGATCTCTGATAGCATCATCAGCCTAATCATAAAAACTGCTGTCTCATCTTCAATGAGCTTTCTTTCAAGTAGCTCAACTTGAAAGCATCTTTTATCGTTCCTGTCAAGTTTTAAATTTCTACGAAATGCATCAAGGTGACTTTCTAATTATCTCATGCTCTATGAGCACATTAATTTTTGCAACAAGGTACAATTCTGATCCTAGATTGTGATACAAAATTATCAATATAGGAAAAAGTATAATTACAAAACTAATAATAGAAATAAACACATTCTAAAGAAACTATTTTGACCTAAAGAATCCAAGTACTTTGACCTCAGCTTTTAATTTTATAGTTACAGCTTCAGTTTAGGACACTTGATACAATGCATATGACAAGAGACTTAATACTGTTAATAATAGGTAACCAGGAAATCTGAGACAATAAAATATAAATGGTGCGATTTTCTTTATGAGAAAGTCCTACTAAGAGGATTTAAAAATACTGTTCTTAAATCACTAAATTACGCTGTCTGAACACATTAAATGATTTATTTATTTAAAGTATTCTTTGAAAAATGATTTACTCCAAGCTTACTGACTTTATGACTCTTGATCAAATGCATAAGACAACATGTCAAAAAATAAAATAAAATTGTGAATGATTTGTTTTAATCAAAACATTATCTTTGCTTATGAAGGGAAAAAAAATTCTTTCCTATTTCACCTCTCCAGTCACCATTTCTGAATCTTAGAATAGAGTATTTGAATATTAGGTTTTTATACATCTGACTTAATACCCAGTACTCCCAGATTCCCTAGTTATCCTTGGAGTCAAGATGACTCAGCTGGGTTGGAACTCTGCCTCTTCTCACTGGAAACACCCACAAGTACAGCCCAGTTTCATTACTGCTCTTGCTCTAGGAATAGGCCCAAATAATATATAACAAGTTAATTCTTTATCTCTTTTTATGAATATATGGTCCTTGGCTGTGGACTCAAGTAAAAGCTAGTTACTAAGCTGAAAATACCCAACCAAATGCTGCTTACTGTGGGAAGTCATTGTTGCATGTGATTGGGCACCTCCCTGATTGGGTGTGAGGCGTTCTGGCTAAACTGTGTCAGAACTAATCCCTACCCTCTCTAGGTGCGAGAACCCATCCTTGTAGGGGTGTGACTGACCATTGACCCTGAGACCAATCACTGACCCTGACCTTGGAATGCTGTCCCCCTCGACCTTCATTGGATGGAATTTTCCCCTGAATTTCTTGTTCCCCAATAAAAGGCCACTCCCTGGCATGCTCTCTCTCTCTCTCCTGCTAGTCTGTATAAACCTCGATGCCCCACCGGGTGGCTCGAGGCAGGAGCCAGAGGGGAGAGCCGTCTCAGACCTGATCAAAGAAAAAGGTAAATTGAGTTTTGTGTGTTTACTTTGATCCCACTAGTTAACTTCTATGCTATGAACCTCTTGTATGAAGCTGCGTGCTGGTCGCCCGGTGGAGATTACTTAAAAGACATTTTGATTCAAGCCATGGTTCTTGGCTTGATGATAAAGTAAATGAATTTGTTGTTTTTCTTTCTCTTAGTTGGCAAAGCATATTCTCTTGTCAAACCTAAGTGAAGGTTTATGAGAAAAGTGACAGACCTGGACTTGGCCACAACTAGAAATACAGCTAGAAGTTGACCTTGCTCAACATGCAGGGCAACAGAGGCTTCCCTTCCATTCTTCCTAATGGCATTATTCAGCTATTCAGCCTGCAATTTTCACTATCCAGGGATTCTTAAAAGAGAAAAAAAAATATATGATTAGTGAAAATCTAAGAGCATGTCCAAAGCTAAATGCAATGCTAATTTTTCCCATTAGCCAAAAAGACATTTAAATGTTCCTGGGTCTGTTTGCTAAAATAAATGTGCATATTTTATATTCATTCCAAGTGCTGTCTTTGCTTACCTAAGATAATGACTTCTATTTAATTAGGCTTTGTGCTCCTAACTCACCAAAACTTTTTTGTGATATTACCATTTTCCTAATATATAGAAAAATCTTTTCCAGTCTGGGAAGTGAAACATGACTATCTGACTCAACAGATGTCACAGATTAATTATGCCATGTAGGTGTGTCGACTCCCTTCGTGTTCAACTCTTGTAATGTTTTTCTCCTTATGCTAAACTCTTTTGGAAATGCTCAAGCTTGCATTTTCTTATGTATTTTTCCAAGCTTCTTTTTGGCCTACTTCTTTTCTTGGCTTCACTTCACATGTCCTCATTTTTTAACTTGTTATTCTTATGGACAAAGTTTTTGACATCAGCCTTCTCATTAATAATCAAAATGTTAGGGGCTGGGATTGTGGCTCAGCAGTAGAGTGCTCTCCTAGCATGCGAGGGGCCCTGTGTTCCATCCTCAGCACCACATATAAATGAATGGAATAAAGGTATTGTGTCCAACTACAACTAAAAAAATAAATATTTAAAAAAATATTAGACATCCAGGAATTACTATAGTCTCATACTGCAGTCTGCTCACATTCTTTTTTTTTTTTTTTGTGGTGCTGGGGATTGAACCCAGGATCTTGTGCATGTGAGGCAAGTACTCTACCAACTGAGTTATATCCCCATCCCTGACATTCCTTATTTTTGCAATAGGAATTCTATGGGTGGACTGAGGACACCATGAGACCATTGTTTTATGATTTCTTCTTTTCTCAAGTAACTGCAAGTCCCATTCTCCTAATATCTCAATAGCACAGTTTTAGTTTCCATTTATTCTTTCTTTTTTTAAATGTTCTCAGTGTTGTGTTTATTATAAAACATATAAATGTCAAGATATAGCTATAAAATCATAGATGTAAGTCATAGCCTTTTATATGCTAAAGGTGAATAGATCTCTCTTGCCCAGAAATATTTCAATAAATTCTATAACATTATGCATTCCTTGTCTATGCAACTCACAAAAATATGTTCATGCTGTTAATGTAAAATTATTTCTGATTTACTCAAAAATTTATCATTTGCTTATTTATTTGTAGAAAGATAGGACAAAGAAGAGGGGGAAGTTTGAAACACAGTGGCAAATGTTATTTAATCATTTCTATCTATATGTAGCAAATGTGCAATATAGCATCTCATTTTGAAGAAAAGGTTTAAAAATATGTCACACACTTGGAATGCCACTCCATGATTCTAACTATTGAATTACTCTAACAAAATTTCATCTTTCAAACAGAAAATTCTTATTAGACCCAATTATTAACCTGTGCTAATTTTTCAGTTAGCTCTACGGATTTAAGAGACAAAGTCTGGAGACTTTTACAGTACAAACTGATGTCTTCACAACTTTCCAGGAACAACACTCAACTGGCAATGAGGACTCATCAATGATTGATGTGCAAAACCTATCTTAAACATATATATGGCAGTTGATGCAAAATAAGTAATTTGCTACCCCCAGGAATTAGGGGCTCTTTGCCTTCCTGTATTTCAGAAGATGGTGAAGGAAATTAGGAAAAAAGGATTAGAGGGACCCCCTACTGAGCAGTTTTAGGGGGCCTGGCCTGCTACATACTTTAAAGAGTCAAACTGGGAGATGGGGAAATTTGGATCAAAGGGTATGTTCAGTGAAAGTAGAAGGAAGTATCCATTAAGATATACTTCTATGTGATTTCACTGCTTTCTTTGGTAATCCTTCCCTTTCCAGGTGCCCAGATGATCTATTCCCATTCACAGAGGTGAAATGCTTGTGAAAAGACAAATGGTGTGGCGATTGAACCTGGAGTCAGGCTGCAGGGTAGCAATCCCAGTTTCCTCCCTGGGTAGCAGGCTTTGTGTGACTGTTGACTTTCCAACAAAGAAGGAGGTATCCTGAGGTGAGCACCTGGCCTTTTCCCCATCTTTGCAGCTCAGTCAAGCATCCTGCCTCTCTATACTAACCTGATTTCTGGATCACGGTTTGAGAAGCCTAGTTTTGTGATTTCCTAAGTGATATTTTCTTAATAGTGATATTCTTTGGTGGCAGCTTCTGAGCTGGCGATTTTGTAGTTGACAGATTTGAAAGAAGAAACATGCATTTATTTCAAACTTTAATAGAAGATTTACTTGAGGCAGGCCTATGAAGATTCAGTAGAAAAACAAAGATAGTGCTCTCACGAAGTTGACATTCTGGTGAATTTAAAAGTAGTTTTTAAACATCCGCCAGGACTTATCCCCCTCTCTGCCCAGGGGAAGAGCCCTGACTTCTTGAAGTTCCCTGTTTAGGCAAAGAACACCTCTTTCCCAAGGGCCATTGTATACTAGCCTCAGTTCTCCTCTGACAAAATTTGAAAGATCATAAATTGCAAAGCAGCCAAAAAGGCTGGGGTCGCTGGAGGTGGCTTCTATTAGCGTCAATACGGCGAAGTCAGGGACCAAGCAGAAGCCTGAAAACTTCAAGCCAAACAAACTCTGAGATTACACCTCTCAACCTCCTCCTCCCCTTCAGAGAGCTAAGGTCGCTGTGAGACTTCTGTCTAGGGGCAACCCAGGGGAGGCAGGGGGCTCAGAGTAAACCGACTACTCTTCCCCGCCCATAACATGGGCTTTGCCCTGGAGCGCTTTGCAGAAGCTGTGGACCCGGCTTTCCAGTGCAAGCTGTGCGGCCAGGTGCTGGAGGATCCCCTGTGCACGCCTTGCGGCCACATCTTCTGCGCCAGCTGCCTGCTGCCCTGGGCGGCGCGGAGACGCCGGTGCCCGCTCCAGTGCCAACCGCTGGCGCCAGGAGAGCTGTATAGAGTGCTGCCGCTGCGCAGCCTCATCCAGAAGCTGCGCATCCAGTGCGACTACCGCGCGCGTGGCTGTGGCCACACAGTCCGGCTGCAGGAGCTGGCAGAGCACGTCGAGCACTGTGACTTCAGCCCAGCCAGTCACTGCCGCAGCCTCGCGGGCTGCGCCTTGGGCCGGGGCGGCTACCGAGACAGCGGGGACGTACCCGCGAGGGGGGGCTGCAGGCCAGAGACCAGAGCCCGTCCGGGCGGGGACACAGGCAGGGGGTCACCAGGCGGCCGCTGCAGCAGCGGACCGGGGCCGGAGCCTCAGGTCCTCGCCTGGAGGCAACGTGAGAAGGCGCTGCTCGAACAGCTCTGGGCGCTGCAGGGCGAGGTACAGCTCACAGCCCGCAGGTATCAGAAGAAGTTCACCCAGTACATGGCTCACATCCGCAACTTCGCCCGGGACCTGGACCGCGGCCACCGCAGGGTAAGCGTAGAGGGAGTGGGCACCTGGGAATGATCAATTGGGGTGGGAAGAGGAATACTTAAGAATTCCTTTAGGAGGTAGCATCTTTCTTTACTACGCAGTAAGAAGCATCACCCGCCCTGAATGTTCTCTGTGGTCATTTTCTTCTAAATGTGTTACTATTGCAGTTAGAAAGGAATGACCCTTTGCCGTTTATATTAGGATTGGAAAGAGTTAAACAGATTCAATTCCAACTTTTCCCTAAGAAGAAATTGGAAAAACTCATTTTCCCATCCAGACTCTTGTTTCCCATCTTTCACTCCCACTCCATCATCTCTGCCTATCTTTTGTGTCCGTGCAATGTGCCTGAAGCAAATCCCAGAGGGAAAGGCATTACCCATAAACGACTTACTTTTTCTGTCAAACTGCCCTTATCAATCAACTACCCTCTACTTAGTTTAGGGACTGTGAGAGAAGAGGGGACCAGGACAACCTCAGGGGTTGGGAGGTTGAAAGATGGGATTTCTTAGACCTTCTAGCTTCATCACCCTTACTCTTCCTAAAAAAAAAATTTTCCCTGCCTTGGAATCTCCGGAGGTTGTTAGTGGTGGTGGTGGGCGAACGTGCTTATGACTTGAGAAGCCTGGTCTGAGAGCAGCTACATCTATCAGCAATTAGACTGGCCCTGAGAGTCTTGACTGGGGCTGTTTTCCTTCTTTGTCGAAGCTGCTGCCCCTGATCTGCTTTCCTGGACCGCCCGCTTTCAGACGGCATAAACATGCCTCTTTGCAGCACCCCGTGTGAAGAGACTTGTTTATAAAGCTGTTACTTCTCTTCTGGAGGACTTCAGCACAGTGTTTGACATTGTTGGTCGCTGCCATGGTGAGCGGGGATTTAGCAGAACTTGCACTCCATTCAAGGAGCTGTTTTCATTTTTCAGTACTCCTGGGGAGGAGCAACCCAGACTGATTCCCATTTGGGACTGATTGCTTAGTACTGCCTCCAACGCAGGCACTGAATTTAGATGTTCCTGTCTTTTAACCAAAAAAATAAAATAATAATAATAATAATAATAATAATAATAATAATTATTATTATTATTATTATTATTACTGAAATGAGAGGGGCTAAAATGCTTCTACCCTGATAAGGGAAAACTTACCATGCTTTAAAAGATTTGATGTTAGGATTCTTTCTCTAGCTTACATACAGGTAAATTTACAAAAATGTGAGGACCCAGAGAGAAGCCCAGAAATGTATTACTAACCCAGGTTTCAAAGTCTGATGGAAAGAAGCAGCATCTAAGAGTAATAGGACAGAGAAGTCCACACAAGTCAAGCAATGGTTTGAAAGTGAGGAGCAACTGCCAATGATTTGCATATTAACTATCAGTTTCCCAGTGCTATTCAGAAATATTTTTCCACTGCCAGTAGGGGCTGCTGTGTGCACTGCCTGGGAGAAGCTCCTGGGAAAAGGTACTGGGAGCTTATGCAATGTTATCATTCAGAAGTAATTTACAAGGATTTAATTTCCCAAGATAAATTAGTATCTATAACCAGGAATAAAACTCATCTTGTCCAATACTGTTTCATCTTACATTTAAATTGGTCTTTACTCACAAACAGGTTGTAGATATAATTCCTATTTATTTAACTGTTGTTGGGCTATAAGAAAAGAAATACATAATATTTTACCTGGCAAAATTTTGCTTTTTTTTTCCTTCTGCAAGATTTGCACAAAACCAAATAGGGTTATTATTTAATATTAGGATTACTGTAACCTAACAGATCCTGCATTAGAGCATCAATCCAAATATTACTTAGCATTTATTAAATTCCTCAAGATTTAATCCCTTAAAATTTTGTAAAGTGAAAATTTTACAAAAATCTTTCTTAGATTCACTGACAATTTATTTTATTTTCTGTCATGGAAGGGAAAATTACAAAATTCCTGTAAAGTTAAACCAGAAATCTGTTTTAAATTATGGGGAAGGCAAAATTAGATGCTGCATTTGGATAAAAGCTGCATATGTAAAAATACAAAGCCATTTGGTCATTTTTGAAAATAGTTTCTTTTTTTTTTTTTACAAGCACGGTTGTTCCTTTTGAATACATAGTTTCAAATATTTTTAGGAAGAAATTAACCCCCAGCCACATTCAATAACCCTTAATTTTAAGCTTTTCTCCTATTCACATTTCATTTATTTACCATTTTAAAATAGCTTCACATTGTATTTGTTTTCTTTTATATTTGTAGCTTAGTCAGTTTATCCCTTTTCTTCTAGGATGGAGAACAGAAACCATTCACCATCGTGTTAGAAAGAGAAAATGACACCTTGGGATTCAATATTATAGGAGGTCGACCAAATCAGGTAACCCACCTTCTTAATATGTTACTCTCTTGGCTTATAAAATAATAGAAGTCTTAGCTTTCTTTTGTGGATTTAGGGTCAGAAAAACAAGTAGTTTCATCTTTAAAATTATACTTGTAATCAAATGCTGGATTCTTTAATGCAAAATTTCCAGTATGTACCAAGATTTTCTTTTAGAGAAAAGTAAAAATCAATGGCTAACAAACTGGGTTCCCCTAGCTGCTTTAAAAAAAGAGAGATACATTCCACATTTTATGTTTTTTGGCACCATTGGCAAATTTCTTAAATAATCTTATTGCACAATAATATGTATAGACAATTTCTGTTTGATATTAGGTGATTGTATTGTCTGCTTATACTTCCTATCTATTAAATCAAATTTTTAGACATTAATGCAAGCTGGGAAGTCTGCATGTTGAATGAACAGTTAAACTCAAGTAAGGGATGATTGTTTTCACAATTATTTAGGAAACTCCTTATTAAAGAAAGTTGATTTGAAATATTTTTAGCTTCCCAAATCAACTTCTTCGCTTAACTGAATGAACAATGATCTCCACATTAATACCAGTGGCTTTCAAAATGCATATTATAAGCTTATATACTATAGTTGCTAAGCTTTTTTACATCCTTCAAATTCTACATCAACTTAATTTTTACCATAGCTGGGGAAAGGTAGTAAAATTTTATAAATTATATTCTTTAATTTACACAATAAACTGCCTTGAAAAAAATTTGCATTCTACATTGCAAGTGTCACCCAAGGAAACTGTCATAGGGTTGTTGGCTATATGCTTTTCAAGTTAGGATAGTGATGTCCTGTTTCCTCCTGTGTCTATGATGCAGCTACCAAATCTAGCAACTCACCATTACTGTGCCTCTGCTTCTAATATGGTCCCCATGCATGATAAAAAGACAGAAGTCTTGTCATATCATTTTTGTTCTCTTTTCCCCCAAGGAATACTTTTATAAATGCCAGTTAGGTATTTGACATTTAGATAACACTGGATTTTTTTTTAAAGTCTCTTAAAACTCATGTTAAGGCAGGTTAATTAAGGAGAAGTTATTTTATTTTACCTTCCATGAAGTAAAATGACATTTCAAACTATATAATGATCTATCATAGGTAATGAACATTTTTTCTAAAAAAGTTTTATAATATAATTGGTTTCCTGAGACTGGATAAAATGTCCTATTTGAACCAAATGGCCATATGTTTGAGTTTCAGTCATGAGGCACATCGCAACTAGAAGCAGGCAAAGATCAGCTTTGAATGGATTTCCTTGTAGTTTAGTGTTGATCTTTGGGGATTTTACACTTGAGCAAGCTCCCAGCCACCTCTGTGAATAGACCTCATCAGAATTGTTTCCAAATTTGTCACATTGAGGGCCTAACTCATATTTTCAAATATAAGACCCATTCTCAAACATATTGTACAATACAGGCTGGATATGCTTTGTTTTCCTTCTGTAACTTTATCACTCTTTTTATTTAATATCTACTTTAGAAGTGTGATATTATAGAAATAAGACCTAGAAACCAGTCAATCTTACCTTGCACATGCCCTTTTCCCCAGAGCTTTTTATGTGTAGTTAAAAATGTGAAGTGAATAGATAATCTCGTCAGAGTTGCTGGACTTGTTCGTTACAGCTGTCATCCTGATTAATTATTGGTTGGTGTTAAGTAAGTTAAAATTCAGTGCCAAATTCCCAGCTGAGAGAGTTACATATTTAAGGAGGACTGGCAATGTTACATTTAGAAAATTGTCCTTTATAAAAATGTTACTTGCATATTTATTTCTGCTGATGAGTATATTTTTTTATAGAATAATCAAAAAGAATCATCTACTGAAGGAATTTATGTTTCAAAAATATTAGAAAATGGACCTGCTGACAGAGCAGATGGCTTGGAGATTCATGACAAAATCATTGAGGTAAGATAATAATAAAAGCTACACATGACCTATAAGTTAAATATTTAAACACTTGAAATTTCCAAGCTTATTGCTTTACCTTGGTATGGCCTTATTAGAATACATATCTAATGCAGCAGAGGAGGTATTACTTTTTTAATTCTTCACCAAAATGTGAAACTCTATGATGATACTTTATTAATTAATAGATATTGGAATAAAAGATTAAAATGCTTAAACTTTTCAAATGTGTTAATGAATAACTCTTTTAATAAATTGTCTCTTCCATGAACTGTAAGGATTCTTGTACAGTTATTAAAGAATTAATTTTGTAACATTTCAAAGGATGATAATCTCTGCTCAAGGACATTTTAGACAAGGAAATATTGCTATTTTAACTTGTGATTAGAATATGTAGAATTTGTAATAATTTATACAATGCCTTCACCTTTACCATTTCTTAGTTTAATATGATTTCATCATCCCATATCCTTTTTTTTTTAATGTTTGAAAAAAATAGGAAAGTAGCTTTTTTGTCCTGTTGAAAAAAAGTTGGTGGAAAACTTTTATTTTCTCTCATGTATGATACAACTATATTGTATTTGGTGATGATATGAGTAAATACCTTTATGCTAGTGATATTGAACTAAAATGTGGAATTTGGGGTTACTGCAGTCTGCCATCTTTCTCCTTTGTATGTTTCATTAACCAATTGAAATGGTATTCTTTGGCATTACCAAAATGATTAGGTTGCTTTTGTCAATGGATTTATTTCCAATGTATTAGTAAAGGTAAAGGTAGAAATTAGTAAGATGTATTTGACTCCACTATTTTTAAAAAAATTCTGTTTATTCTGTTATTTAGTCACTGATACTATCTTTCTGAATGTCTACATAAACTCTCTGGTTGGAAGCTATTTTTCTTTATTAAGATTTGGATAAAGTTTTAAATTTTTATTCAGTATTTGTACACAAGTTGAATTTTATATACATTGATATAGGATAAAAGCAAAGAATATGGAGGAGCCACTAGTTTTCTGTCTGAGGTGCGAGGGGGGAAGAACGCATAATATGTAGAACTTAGCTGACTAGACGCTTTGGGAAGAGAAAAGCGTTACCTTGGGCTGAGAAGGTCTGGGTTTCTGTTGTTTATTTGTTTGTGTATTTTTAATCTAAAGAGTTCTCTTTTATCAAGGTTTTCTGCTTCCAGTTGTATAGTCAAAAAAGCACAGATTGCTTTCACTGTTGCTATCAGCTTTTCTTGACAGTTTGCCTACTGAAAACATTTAGAAGCTATAGTTTCCAAAATTAGAATTTTTCTATTTCTACTCATGTTTGTGCATTATATTTTAAAGAACAGCATAATTTAAACGAAGTTGTCCTCATTATTGTCTGCCTTATCTCTAATGCATTTTCATTTTTCCAGATAAATAGAAAATGAACACTTATATTTTATGCTATTAGAAGGGCTGATGGAACTGAATTACATACATTCAATTACACACACACACACACACACACACACACACCACAGAAACAAGTACTGGCAATTTTAAAAGTAATTTATTCTAGATTCTAGCTGGGTAATAATGTTATAGATACTTCATTAATATTGCATTAAAAGGAAGGAAGAAGAACTTTTATGTTGCAATACTTTTGTTAATTACTCAGTTTTTGCTTATGTAAAGAGGCAATTCTGTAGTTTTACAAAAACTATAGTTGATAAATCCAGTGCAGCTAAAAATCTATATAATATGTTACTAATGTATGCAAGACTAGCTTTATTTTTTTAAGATAAAAGAAATCAACCATGGGAATCCAAATGGAATTTATTACTAGCTGCAATACTATTATTATTCACCTTGATTTGCATATATTAGCAATTAATGACAAGGACTTGAAACTTTTCTTATTTCAATATGAATTTTTCAATGTATCTTTTATGCGAGGATGCATTTGTATATGTGTGTGTGTGTGTGTGTGTGTGTGTGTGTGTGTATCCCACACACATGAAATCACTGTAATGGATTACTGTGGTCACATTTACAGTTAGGAAATGAATTAGACATGCATATTTCTATAATGTTGTCTTGTTAATTAGCATGAAATATTTTAGAAGGAAAATTATTAGAAATAAATACATCATATTTAGTTGCTGTCAGTTTTTTTAGTGGATAGATATTTGTGCGACTTTTTTTCTTTTCTTTTTTTATTGATTTTTTTTAAAAAAATGACAGCAGAATGCATTACAATTCTTATTACATGTATACAGCACAATTTTTCATATCTCTGGTTGTATATAAAGTATGTTGATGCCAATTCATGTCTTCATACATGTACTTTGGATAATGATGTCTATCACATTCCACCATCCTTGCTAATCCCCTACCCCTTCTTTTTCCCTCCTACCCCTCTACCTTATCTAGAATTCATCTATTCCTCCCATGCTCCCCCTCCTTACCTCACTATTAGTTAGCTTCCTTACATCAGAGAAAACATTAGGCATTTGTTTTTTGGGGATGGGCTAACTTCACTTAGCATTATCTTTTCCAAACGCCATCCATTTACCTACAAATGCCATGATTTTACTCTCTTTTATTGCAGAGTAAAAACTCCATTGTGTATATATGCCACACATTTTTTTTATCCATTCATCCACTGAAGGGCATCTAGATTGGCTCCATAGTTTAGCTATTGTATGTTGTGCTGCTATAAACATTGATGTGGTTGTGTGTGACCTTAATATCTATTTAAACAAAGAGCATATTTGCCTTGTGCATATGTATCATAAAAGATCTTTATGGATTAAGAAAAGTTAAACATGTGAAGCTTGTCAGTTATTTAACGTATCTATCATATGGTCTCAATCAAACTTAGTGGTGTGCAGCTAATGGTAAATCAAGAAGAAATGTATCAATTTATTTAAAATACACAGAGCCAGAAAAACAGATTTTTAAAATAAAGACAGTAAGTTCTGTTTTGTGATCAATAATTTGTTGATTGACTAAATTTAATAGATTTTCTCTTTCAGTTTTTGAATATCAAATGGCTATGCTGATTTTAACCTAGAGCAACAAATAAATTCAGTAGCAGTGTAGACAGCACAAATATTTCAAGTATTACGAAACTATCCATACAACCTAACTGCCCCAATATATTGTGAGAACTTATCTTTTAACTGATTGTTTCAAGATCTACTCAAAAACATTTTAGAAAACAAACAAAAAATATGTAAAATAACATAATTTTACTAAATCACTTATTTGAATAAGAAGATATGTTACAGATTTGGTCCTATTATTGGTTAAAATGACTTCACTAATACTCAAAAATATTGGTCATAACAATTTTTCCATTGTTAAGCAAAGCCCAACAATTCTAGAAGTATCATTTTAAAAATCTAGATTGTACTAACGCTGATGGAATTAACAATCATGCAAGAATAAAAAATATCACAGTCACAAAGTAAGCCCATGTTGTAGTTTTCATATCACAGAAGACAAGTTGATTTTTGTGTTCAGTCTCCACAAGCCACTTTGTTGCCCAGTTTCTAAGTATTCCCACATCCACATTTGTGAAAATATTCACTGTTTGAAAAACTGCTCTGATATTTGATTTGCAGCATTAGGTAGCAAACTGTCTATCTCTGGAGAGTGAAAAGGCCAAGGAAGCTTCTTGAAATATCACAGGAATCCACATAGACTAGGCATTTACTCATATGCATGAAAATAAAAGCATATTTTGCTTGCTATTTTTTTTTTTTTTTTTGCCTTTTCAAGACTCAAAAGGAGCACAGAGCCTCTTTGCTATTAGAAACTTGAACACAGTTCTAAAAGAGGCTACTACTGTTGCTGTAGTTATCATCGTGTTAGGATGCCTAATGCATACATGGGAAAGAGCTGAGAACCAAAGTTCTCTGCTGCTGTCAATAACATTGTTCCTGTGTTATTACTGTGATGTTGGTAGCAGGTACTGTAGACATAACCTAAGAGTGCAAAAAGGTGCACAGCTATTTATGGCTCCTTGTTCACTTTCTTGCCCCACACCTTCCTCCAGCTCCCAGCCAATGCTGTGTAACAGAACAGTGCTGGTGCAGGGTGGTTACCATTCTTCTCTCCACTTCTGGAGACCAGAGGAGTCTGTTACATCAATACTTTTGGGGAAAAAAAAGCAGTGTTTTCAAATATATATTTGTCTTTTCTATATTTAACTTGAAATGCATAGTGAAACACAACTAAAAAGCCATTTTATTTTTCTTTGCAAGTAGTTCCCGCACTGAACAGTGACATTGTACTGCTTTCCATGAGGTGCAGAGTTCAGTACTAGAAGAGGGAACTTACTTGCCAGAATGTAATTATACTTTCCTTTAGTTCTGTAATATTTTCACTCCTGGATTTTTTGCCATCACTCCCTGCACAGCTAAAGTAAAAAATCTTTATTAGCTCTCACATTTATTTGGCTAAAGTTTTGCAGAGTAGTTTACAGCTGTTAAAGGAGGAAAATTAGGTGCAGATCAGAGCTAGACACTTTTAAATATTTAATCAGATCTACTTGATGCTTCTTCTGTGTATTTCTGATGGCACTTCACACCCCACATGCAGGCCTCATGTGTTCATTATAAGAAGTATTTGCAAGTTTTGTAGGTCATCTGTAAAACTAGTGGGCAGGTAGTATTTTTGACAAATTATTGTTTAATAATCTGAACACACCACTGAATGCTTCAATAGAATAATATCCTCATCCCATATTTTAAAAGTGTATTTTAACTGTTCAAATAACAAACTGGTTGTTTGAAAGAATGAGGAAGGACCTAAAAGCAATTATACTTATTCAAATGAATAAGTGAAATTTGTAAACATAATTTAATGCTACTCAATCAAATGTAGTTTCAGCAACATAATGCAGTTATTATACAATTGTATATTTTAAAGTATCTTGAAAAACAGTGTGTTACAGTTGAAAGACGCCGAGATCTGAAATCAAGGAGACCTGGCTGAAATTTCTGTCCTGGGAGTTAAAATT